ATAATAACACAAACGCTGTAACTACTTATGTTTGTTACTAAATAAATCTCATGTTTATATACGTTTCAGTTTTTTCCATGTTAATATCTCCAATTTCTTATTCTATCCTTGCCAGCATACAAAATTTATTTCAGGTAGACTGTGATTTCAGATTATGACCTCTACTAAATATATGAACAAGTTTGTTTACAAAACCTGAAATTGTAAGGCTAGTTATACATAAATAGTAAGTGCCTGTTGATAAACATTATTGACAGACAAAATCGTCAATCCTTCTGGTTCCAGTAGATACAGTTAGCCGAATTCCAGTAGATATAGATAACAGAATTCGAGTAGATACAGCTAGCCAAAAAGTGTTTTTAAGACGTGCCGTCTTGCCTGTCAGGGATTTTAAAAATCTTTTCTGCTATGAAGTAAATTGCTTTGAATAGACTAACTTGAGTTTAAAAAGTTAACTTAGAGAAACAAGCAAATAAATGTGCAACATTTCTTAAAGAGGCTGCTAAAGTTCATCATATTTTTCTTTCTAAGTAAATATCCCAGTTTTTTTCAGTTGCCTATGATTTTACGGTAATTCGTCATTTTTCGTCGGTTTCCTACATATGTCAATAATTCATGTTTGACAACAAACTTTGTCCTCCGAGCATGATGCTTACGTTAATCAGTGCTTAGGTGTCGGATATATTTTAGACAAACTAATAGAAATGTTCGACACATTTTGCACATCTGAAAGGTGATTGAGCTATTATTTATGTACATAAAACAATTATCTCATTTTAACCTCTTGATTTTGATAGGACTCTTTGAAGACTCTAATTCTATTGTAAACTATTTTTGTAGGATAATACGAACTCTAACACATCAGATGATACCGAAATTTAGAATACTTCTGTCCTTTACCCTACCTGCATCAAGACCTTAAACTTGTACACAGTAATAAAATTTCTCAAGTATGAAATCAGTGGTATCCATTTATTTACATATATGTTAGTTCTCCGTCCCTCTACCAAATGTTCTTATCGATTGAATTGTCCTAGCCTCATCCATCCATTACATGAGACTTTTAAAGTTTTAAATATTTATGTTTATTGAGTGGCTGAAAAAATTCAAGGAACTTCCTCTGTGAATATGCACATGGAGAGAGGCAGCACAATACATTCCAAGCACCACACTTATTTCGCAAAAGTATGTTTCTAAATATGCTGCAATTTTACAGTTCTCCGAGATTTGACGTTAGTGTAGCGACTTTAGGTTTCCCAATCACAGGTAATTAAAGGGACGTAGCTGTGAATGTCATTGTTATTTTCCATCTCAAAGAGTTTTAACCCCTAATTTTGAAATGTTACCCTCGGCAGAGTATAGTGTGCATCTATTTTGTATTAATATAGAAAAAGATTAAAGAAGACAAGGAAATTTATGTCTCATTTAATATTGACTAAACTATTCGCGAGAAATGAAGATCTTCTTAATAGAATAATGGATAATACTTAGCCAAATACAATTAGGTCATCCATCACAATGACTAAATACAAATGAGGAGAGATAGCATTGCGAGAGTGAAAACGTATTTTCTTGCTTTCAAATTTCAATGCACGAAATAGATTTATTAAAAGTAGCTTCAGGAATTTTCATATTTTATGAGCATGAAATTAATCATTCTGTCAAATAATTATCCCCATTCTTATACTTCCACTCTCGTGGTTATATTTTATAATTTTTCAGCTAAGAGAACAGGTTTTCTTTCTAGTATCAATATTATATGGTAGGAATCAATGAGGACAATTAAACGATGCAAAAGAGTATGTTGGTGACATTTTCAAGTAGCATTTAATGTTTCTAATATTTGAAAGATATAAAATCTCTCTTAAAACGTATTCAATGATACATTACGCTTGTTAAACAGGAACCGGACAAAACAATTCTTAGGAAAATTACAGTGTTTTTCGTGTCAGTTTCATGCCATAAAAATTAATAAACACTGCCGTTTCTTCGTCACTAATTCAAAACAAGCAAAAGAATAAAAGATTAAATTCTGCAGAGAATTTTGTTGGTTTTTTTTACGAATATAATGTATGCTTTCACAACTTTTAGAGTGTTCCATGTTTACATTTAAATTGTTTCCTGTGTATCTCCAGTTAAAGAAACCTCAATTTCGATTTATTTTTAATGATTCTGTTGATTACAGATATTCGTTACAATATGAAGACCACTTTATTTCACCAAGGTTCATAATATTCTCCATGGAGAAGTATAAACCTAGAAAGAATGTAAACAAGCCTAGAAATATACGTCTTCCATGCCTTCAATAAAGTTTAAACGTTTTCTGAGTCAACGCTAATTTTAAAAATTGATATTATTTGAAGTAAACTGATTTCGTTCTTTTAAATTATCTTCTTTAATTAAAGAAATTTTTTTACTTCATCACTTTTTAAAACACATAAATAAAATTCAGGGAACAGATGCAAAGTCGATTCATTTTCATGATGAATAAGTTAGGTTCTCCTGCTGACAAGTGCTAAAGTCAAAGTCACCAAATCATAAGTTAAGAGTATAATGTATGCATATCTTTCAATTTTTGTTTTGTGACTAATGCCTTCATTATGTGCAAATTCAAACAAACATCGGCTGTTAAGTAATTAGGTTTAGTGAGCTATCAATGTCAGAGTCATACAAGTTTATTTTATGAGGCAATGATCACCATATGAATAAGTTTTAAAGTATGCAAACTGATAATATTAACATAACATTTGAGCAAGTCACATTCCACTTGCGTTAAAATAACTGTACTTTATTATAACTCATAATGAATACAGATACGTTCATATTTGTTACCCGTCTGACGTGGGATGACTGTTCTTTACATAAAACATGCCATACAGACATACTGATGACAGTAAAATCAAAACTGCGATATTTTATGATTTAGATTTAATTTTCAATGCGAGGACGATTTAGGCGACAGACCGACGAATGCGGTTAGTACATTGGTTACTTTCGAGTGAACATCTTGGTTTAAAGTTCATTGAAAAAACATTTACATCAGTCTCAAATAATGATAGAAATTCCCCTTGAAAGAATAGAGTCGTACGTTTTGTACAAACAAGAGAAACAGATACCTTACACAATGTCAAGGCATAAATACTAGAAGAAATGAGATGCGTCATCGACAATATCAGAAAGGACATTATCATTCTTGTTGATCGTTCCCAAAATTAACTAAATACTTAGTACATCAAACGAAAATAAAGATTTTATTAAATATGCTTCCTAGCGATGGAGAATGATTTAAGACCCTTTAATCTTTCTAAGTTAGTGGTGAGATCTTTCACTTTTCCAGCATTGTTTATGTACGTGAGTAACTCCGAAATCAATATTATTTCCAATTCAATTCGCATTAAATCATATATCTGGTAAGTTTCCTTCCAGTGAGTACCAAATAAAAGAAGAAAAGTAAAATGAACACTTTTTATTATTTATTTGTTTGGCAAAATTGTGCAGCAAAAATAAAACTTGATTAGTAGAATCAAAGATTATATTCAACTAAAATAAATTAATGAATCCATCACTTAATCAAAGTAATAGCTGTACAACAGAGAAAATCGTATCTGTTTCAACAAGGCAATGTATCGATGACGGAGATACTTGTATGTGCTTCAGCCAGACAATGACTCCATGACAGAGAACAGCGCGCGAGCGCGCGCGTGTGTTTGTTTGTGTGTCTGTGCGTGTTTTATTTAGCTGGGAAATGGATCAATGAAAGTGCAGTGTTTCAATAAGGAAAAAGCTCAATGACGGAGAGCAGTGGTAGTGTTTCAACAAGGCAATATCTCGATATCCGATAGCTCTTGTGTGTGTGTCTGTGTGTGTGCGTGTGTTTGCGTATGCGTGTGTGTGTATGTGTTTCAAATGAATGTATATTATCTTGATTTCAAACTTCAGTTTAGGAATTAGTTTAAAAAACTCCCCGTTAAAACAATTTAAAATATTCCTAAAGTCTCTGGATAGGAAATCGAATATTTTATATTTCTTTTCAAATGATTGTATTTTGTAATTCTCAGCCATACAAAAAATTACTATAAAAATGCTTGTCAAAACGTTATTAACTGATGGTGAAAACGAGTGTATTTTCTGACAATTGGGACAGGGACGAAATCAGTCCATTTTTTAAAGAAATTATGTAAATGAATTATTTTGGTAGTTTTACGCCATTAATCGTTACCAAAGATAAAGTCTGTTTTATTTGAAACCTAAATCAAATTTGATGTAAAATTTAAAGGTGTTTTCACATTATTTAGAAAATAAAAGCGAAAACCTTTGTAATATGGGAAAATTACCATGTTCCTTGTGCCAATTGCTTGTCATAGCAAATAATTATTTTAATAAAATTACATGTTTAGTTTAGTCACTCCTCTCAGATTCTTGTCACTGCATGTAATAATTTTAATACAATGGACTATTTCATTCTTTGCATAATATTTCGAAACGGGCAGACACAAATGGAAAACTAGTGTGGGGATAAGGTGTATTAAAAACACATGCATATTTTCAAATCTCGTCCATGTTATCATTTACAATTGCATTAGCTATTATTACCAGCAAAGATAATTCCATTTCAGTTGTTTCAATGCATAATAAGGACTCATCTTGTTTTAAATATAGCTCATATTATTCCCCACACTGTTGAGAAAATGTATAATTAAACCATAAAGTTTAATTATAGTTATTTGATTTAAATTGAATAAAAATAAAATATAAAAAATGAGGAGTAGATGCTTGCATCCGCCATTATATGACGACACCTTTCGGATCGTCTGAAAAACCAAGCAATTTTTACAGTATAAATGTTATGTGAAAAACTTCTATTTTAAGTCTAAATTATATATTGTTAAAAAATAATCAAAATGATTTTTTTTTTATTTGCTCTTTGTAGCATACTATGATTTTTCAATCACTAAATGTAAGGAGAGATAATTTTTATGGCGAGCTCTGAATTAGCAATCGCTCAGGTGACCGAGTGGTTAGAGCGTCCGCCTCGGATGCGGGAGGTCGTGGGTTCGATCCCGGGTCGAGTCATACCAAAGACTTACACAAATGGTACTAACAGCTGCCTCGCTTGACGCTCAGCATTAAGAGGTTAGTGTTAGGTCTGGTCGGCCTGGTGTCAAGATAATGTGACTGGGTGGGACATGATGCCACAGTGGTAGACATCACTATAAACTTGCCACACTGCAGATATCGTAGCGATATGACTGGAAAATTATTAAAGCTACGTTAAAAATCATAAACACCACACCACACAACCTGAATTAAAAGTTATCAGACGGACTAGACCAAAGAAAATGTCATCACATATGGAGCTTTGAAGAGTGTTTTAAGGAGCATATTTCGGTGCTTCTTCATTATTAATTCTTACACTACATGTAAATGTGCATGCAAAACAATCTGCAAGCTGATTAGGATTTTGGTGATATAAATGTCACAGAGTGAGTCATTGTTATTTTATGACACAATCCTTAGCATATAAATGATGATTGCAGACTGACATCGTAATATTATATTTTTATTATGTATTTTGATTTATTTATTTTCAATATCTTTTCAAGCATGTATAGTTCTTACTAAATGTGTTTGCAGAAAGCATGATGTTCAGAGACGCTTAAGAAAGAGAAAATAAAATAGATTCGATGAAATTTCTATAGTTTTCAGATCAGTAATAAAATGTATTCAACTTCATAATTCGTGTCAAATGTCTCTATGGTTAATGTTATTGATAACAACTCTTTGTGAAAACACCATATTTACCTGCAACGTTAAATAATGGAAACACTGTATTAAATGTTACCTTCTTGTCCTAACACGCTCTTTGTCCTTGTTCAACTTGATAATAGCTTTATTTATTTATTTATAATTAATTATTGAATCAAAACTTTAGACAAAAAAAGAGTGTTTTCAAAATTATTTGTGGGGGGGTACAACGCATGGAAACTACCTCTCTTTCCTTCACTCTCGCTCTCGATTTTCGCTTAAGCCATTTTAAAGTAAGGCGTATACCAAACATTATTGCTAAAATTTGTTTCTAGCTCATGTTTCCACGTTTAGAAGAATCAGTAGATTTGACTCAATCAAATTCTTTAGAAATTCAACTAAGATCTAGACGACAACTCCATCATCTTATCAAAACGTATTTTACTGGTTAGGACTAAGAGATGTATATCGACATTTGCGAGTAATAAAGATTGGCATTCCTTTTATTTTATTATCTTTACCCTGTCTTCCCTTTATTTGTGTTTGTGATAAAAACAAATAAAACAGGCTAATGAAAATGCTGGAAAAATAAATTAGTCAGAGAAGATTTATTCTATGTTTTGTCACATTTCTTTTTGAGTTTTCTTGGTCCCCGTTGTTACTGAAAACTTGGCTTTGTACACCCGTCCCTCGGACATTAAGTTCTGATGAGCTTGTTTCTTTCTGTTTAATTTTCCTTTTGTATTGTTTATATATGCTTAAAGTGAAAAATCTTACAATTTTTTCTTACCAACATCATATTCTTAGATCTCTCTCTCTCTCTCTCTCTCTCTCTCTCTCTCTCTCTCTCTCTCTCTCTCTCTCTCTCTCTCTCTCTCTCTCTCTCTCTCTCTCTCTCTCTCTCTCTTCATTTAAATAAAGTTTTGAAACGAAAAGGTTCGAGATAATTATAGGGCAAAAGTATAAATAAAGTGCTTAATTGGCCGTAGTTTTTTTTTTCATTGGGTCCATGAGTATTAAGTTCCTTCTCTTTCCTAATCAATGAATCTTTATAATATATTAGAATGTAATTTATTTGAATAACTTTTTTATAATGAAAGATTGAAATCATTCGACGTGATAAAAAAATTATCCGGCCTGGTATATATCAATGCATATAAAATTGACGAGTTGTTGAACTGTCGTATACATAGCTTATGATTGAGTGATTCGGATTATAGTCGCGGATTATAGTCTCGATCTGCTAATGCGACTTTTTGCGACCCCTGGCTGGACGGCAGTCTCCTTAACGGGGCGTTTGGTCCCGAGCTGAGCCTTTCTGCAGCTTTATCGTCTGGGTACGTGCATGGTGTCATCATATCCCTTGGGGTCAAAGCGAACCTACATCTCCCAAACGGCAGACCCGCAACCAATTTTCCCGCCTCGGCTGCAACTCCTACCCCGCCAGCCACCAAAGAGTGAGTCCACCCTGCTTTATCTCAACCGGGAAGACTTTGATCAAATCTTTACCAGGTGTGCCTACGGGTGTCTGTATACCAACTTTATGTAAGGCACCTAAACAAGTGACCAAATATTGAAGAGCTGTGAATTTAGAATACGTTTTCGTGTAGGAATTTCGCGTACTTAACGTACTTATATTGGTCTAAATTATTTCCATCCGTTACAACATTTAGCTATGCTAAGGTTAGGATGGTTGAAGGATTTTGACCGCCGTCCGAAAGGATCATGTTTGCATTACATTGTTTTTGTTTAGTCCATAGAATAGATTGAAATCTGTTTTTACGCAGACGTAATGGAAAACATCGACTTGGTGCAAATTTTGTTACAGATATTGGATAAGTTTCATACAAAGCATATTAAATATGTTGCATCTGTAGTTTTTGCACATTCTTCTACTGTTATATATTGCGTAGATCGGAAAGAAAAACTAGAAAGTAACAACACGTATTATAGGTTAATATAGGACACGAGTGAACATTAATAGTAAATATGAAGTATTTGTGGGCATTGTCATTTGCTATATTGGTAGTGGTTGCTTAGAAATATTTTGTTTCAGATCGTTTCAAAAAGGGAAAAATATTCTTGTAGTTGGAGGGCATGAGTGAAGAGGACCCTTTCTTAGTTTATTCAAAGAAAAGTTTTTATTGCGTTTTCCTAGTCGAGTATATATTTATATAGTTCAATCAATACTTTGAGTTTTTCTGTTTTCATATTCATACAAGAAAGCAACTATATCATTTTGGCTATTTTTATTACAGATTTTGGACCACGAAAACCTTTATCGCTTGAAATGACCGTTTTAAAAAAAAAAACACTTCTTTGGTAATACATGTTCGCTATGTTCTAGACTAACGTCAGACATAACAAAGAAAACAAACACATTCACACACTCACACGTACAGACAGAGAGAGAGGGGGGTCTAAACCAAGGGATATAAAAATCGATGATTTTGGATGTTCTTATTTTCTCATTGTTGATGGATCTCCTAATTTAAGGCATTGACTGAGAGTATATTGTACCAAACCAGCGGGTTATTAATTCATACATAGTTTTCTCTGTAAAGCATATACAATTAATTTGCTAATTAAGGATTTATTTCATTCTTTCATGTGATTTAATTGATCCAATACATACTTAGCAATCATAAAATGATTCACATCCTATAAACTGTTTACCTCAAATAAAACAATAATTAGGTATAAATAGGTCCTATGTTAATGTACTTGTATTTATTTGTATTTTTTATTTGCATCTGAGTCACAAAAATGACAAAACTATTTAAATCAATGCAATCATTGTATTTGTTTTCCTTTGTGTAAAAATCGTTCACATGCAAGAAACTTGTAACGTAACAAAGAACAAAACAAAAATAAAATATAAGTTCAGATAACAATAGTAAAGCATATAAATTGTCATTGACAGGCAACTTGTCAGACTGTATTAGATAATAGGGAAAGAAGAATAGGTTGTTGAAATCATTGCAGAAAATTAGTATCAAATTATTTAATGCGAAGTTTGTTTAATAAATTGACTAATAAAAATTACATTGTGTTGTTATTTCTGATCTTAAGTGATGTACAATCTATAATGTTCTGCTGCATGTAAGGCACGTGTGGGCATAACAATGATAGGATATGTAGATAAGTAAATATATACTATATCAGAATAACTGACAAAATCAGGAAGAACATTATTAGATGAAGAATGAGACTGACCTGACGTCCTGCGTTTTACAGTTTTCGCGTTCAGTACAAATACCAGTACTTAGAAATGTCTCCTAAATGCACTGATTATGCTACTTGCAAAAAGGAGGATTTATGCATGACAAATGTAGTTGTTGTTGTTGTTTTTGTTGTTGTTGTTGTTGTTGTGGGGCTTAACGCCATTTTCAGCACACGATAGGCTATACACGGCGGCCAGTATTAATGGTGGAGGAAGAAACCGGGAAATCACCGGAAAGAACCATAGACCCACGAGAAGCTACTGGCAAGGTTTCTCACATACCCATATTCGCCGTATCCTAGACTCGAACTCACGCAGACAGAGGTGAGATGGCAGTAATCCGGTGGAAAGGAGGATTTATACACGAGAAATGAGAGAGAGAGAGAGAGAGAGAGAGAGAGAGAGAGAGAGAGAGAGAGAGAGAGAGAGAGAGAGAGAGAGAATATGTTCAAGCTAAACATTGTTATGTATATTTGATTTGTTTTGTTAGTTAGCATTTTCTAGTAATTATATGTTATATGTTTTTCTATTTTGTAACTGAGCTTAGTACAAAATCAAATTAATGATCGACCTGACCAGTGATGTTATATTGTAAACCACATATCTAATACTTTTTATGATTGTATATTAAATAATCATTTCGTTATTATTGGAGGTGATCTCTCTCGTGGTCCAAGTCGTTAGAGCGTCCGCCCTGGATGCGTCACGTCGCAGGTACGAATCCTGATCGAGCCATATAAAAGACTTATAAATATGGTACTAACAGCTGCCTCTCTTGGCATTCAGCTTTTAGACCTGGTGTTGGATAATGTGACTTGGTGGGAAATGATGCTACATGTCTGCGGCATGATGCCCAAGCACTATACATCACTATCATCTGCTATACTGCAGATATGGTAGTGATATGACTAAATTGTTAAAGTCAAGTTTAAAATACAAATCAAAAATATACACATGCACACATTAATGGAGGTAAACATGTTTGACATCAGTTCTAGACAAGTTTGAGTATTTTAGAAAGGAGAGTGAGTACATCATAACTCTATTACTGTGCCTTATCCTTTAATATCACTGCTGTTTACTTGAACATTTGCTAATTTTTAAC